TTCTCTTTCTATTCCTATATCGCAGTCTCTTACGTGCGAGCATATGACTCGCGCACTCTATTCTTATATCTCTATGTTTAACCCCAATTAATTAGTGTTCTATCCCCGTGCCGCCGCAACTTTTCCCCTAGCTACACTCACGCCCGCGCTTGGAGCAATCGTTATGTTCTCGCCGGCGTGCCGTCCGTATCAGGCTACTTCGTTACAGATTATCACTCCAACGCTCGCGAACGGTCTCGCACCTGGTTTATTTTTGTTCCACTTGTCTGTAGATTTCCGGCGCTATCATATTTCACTGCGGCTAATCGTCGAATGTACTCGTCGCCCTCGTCGACGCGATGACGAATGTTGGCGGCAGTAGACAGTAAGCTGGATTCTTTAATTTTCTCTTAATTGCTTGTTTAATCATGCTTATCTTTTTAAAAAGAAGTCTCTGTGCCAGATAATTAAAAGTTTTTATCATTTCTGATAGTCGTAAAAAAAAGAGAACAATTTGTATTAAATATAATTTTATTTATAGAAGATTTTCATTTGATTCAACGATCTTTTCTTGGTTATAAACATTTCTTCTTTTCATAAAAATCCTTATTTTTGAAACAGAAGAAAGTTCTTATGGTTAGATTAGTTTAGTAGCTCCCTGTCATTCCTAAATACCTTTCCACGCAGATTATTATTACTAAGGACCAGAAATAAATGATAATCTAGAAAGATGACCGAATAAGGTGGCTCATATAAAGTCTCCCATTCAAGTTGGATTATCTCCAACTTTGGTGATTACCTCTAACTATATGAATGAGTTATCCTAAAGAAACAGTATTCCTTTACGATAGACTACTTTCGTACTTTTTCCTCTTTTATGCTTATATTCCAGTAACATTTTGATAAAATTGAGCAGTTCAAAATAGACAATTCTACATTATAAAACCGTTTGTCTGATTACCGTCTTTTTATTTTTATACTTCAGAATTTAAAAATCATCTTAATCTAACTCTTGCTTAACTCTGAAAAATCGATAGATATTAAATAATTGAGTATAATTATTTCACAAGGCTTGAGCTTCATTTATTCGTATTTAGGTTATCCTTTGTAAACTCTAAACTAATTCATTTGAGATGTGTTTGAAACTAGCTGGTCATATTGCAGGAAACACAGATGACCGTTATGTTAGAATTATTGTCGTCTGCGTTAACAAAACGTCGGCGACATTAACGTAAATTACATCTTTGGTATGACGGTCTGTTGTCGTACACTCGTAATTAACTCGATCCAACTAGTTTCTTTTGTGGTCGATAAATTAGTACGTCCTCGTAACTTTGAAAATCAACGGAGATCTGCCAACGCGAGAGAGTCTCACATTTGCTTGTACCGAGCGCGTTTGTGTACAAGCCGTCGCCTCGATCGATCACGTTCCGTTTTCTATCTTTGACTACAACGAACGTACGAACGGTTTCCGTTAACGAAGCAAGACAGATTACATAGTAACCCAGCGTACGAAGCATTTTTTTTACGTCAAAAGCGCAGATAATGAAAAAATAAGGTTTTCTCCCCGATCAGCTCTTTAAAAACCTGATTGCCCAAAAGATTTCGATGCATGTGCATGTGTGTGCGCGCGCGCGCTCATCGACCTCGCTACTCTCATACTCTCTATCGTATTCCTCGACTCACTCGCTTCTCTTTGGTACTCCTTGAATCGTTTCTCGCGTTACGCTCCTAACTCTTCTGCACTTCGCGCGCGCGCGCGACTTTACGACATCTCGGGAAGTCGGGTTCTCTCCTTTTTCCCTCGCTGCCAATGCCCCATATATTTCGGGCATCGCCCCTTCTCTTCGCTCCGTGCTATTTGATTATCGTCATGAAACTCACCCGGCTATCTCCCGAAACGCCCGCTCGCGTTTTCTTATTTCTCTCCCTGCGAACGTATGTGGCACTCGAGTCTGAACGGTGTCTCTCGCAAATAATCGCAGCCGGCGTTTTCTTCGATCTCGCCCGCCCGACCGGCTTCACTTCACGATATCCTCGCCCCATTTAATCCTTCGCGATATCCCTGGCCGTACGTGCCACAGAGCATACGTACATAACATATACCTATATATGTATATATGTAGTATAAAACTGCCATCCGTGACTGCCGGCTCCGTCGTTTGGAAATCGAGACGCGCGCGCTACTGAAAGTCGCGCGAAGCGTCGCGGTCGTTAGCAGGATTCCGGAAGTTTATTCGCGAGAGCGTTCCGTGCGGTCGATTTTTTTCGCGTTTTTCCTCCCCCCTCCCCTCAGGACAGTAAAGCTCTCGGAGTGCCCGCGCGCAGTAGCGAGTGAAGTGTCGACAGTTACTTTTTATACAGCGACAGAGTAGACAATACTTTTTATACAGGGACTGTCGGTGGTTTACACCGTCCGGTTAACGTAGATGCAGCCGTTAAAAGCCGTTATTTCGTATCTTCTCCTGGAGATGAGAAATTGCCTTGCAAAGTCCTACTTTTTCTAAGGATTAGCACGCATGTCGTTCGCGCGAGACGACGACCTCTCACCATATTGTCCTGCTGCAAGTTACTCGGGTTTACGTCACGAAGCGCGTCACTCTAAATTCTACGGCGGCGCGGCGGTCGTGTCTTGGTGTGTATACCTTTCCTTTATTTCTTTGGGGGAAAAAAAGGACGACAAGAGTTCGACCGGAAACGCCTCAACGTTGTGGACGTTTAATATCCTGGCTTAATATTACAGGGGAGGGAAGAAGGTCTTTGTCTTCTTCTCCCATTCTGATTGGTCCACCCGTTCTACTTTACGATCCACCGCAGCTGGCCACAGCTCGTTCTTCAGCGGCAGCTTGGTGTCCCGCGAACGATCGAAATCCCATTTTCCACTGTCACAGACCGTCCACTTTTTCTTGAAACGAGATTTCTGGGCTTGCGAGAGCGCCGTTCTCGTCCTTAAAGTCTAATTTCGCTTGGATATTATGCGACATCGTATTAACAGACGATATCCGCCGGATTTCAATTTGCCGTAAAGGGAAACAATTTATTTCTCTCGGAAAATTTATATACGCATATATATATTCTAAATGGTTCTTTCAGTTACCTATCGAACGTTTCCTGTTTTTACTTAACTGCTCGTTTAAATATTTTATTGCATATTATTGTATAATACTGTATATCTGTCAAGCGAAAAGATAAAATTAATACGAGATAAACTTTATGATCATTTTCTCGTGAAACTCAATAGAATCACTCGAAAACGCGTTTAAACACGATTGTTAAAATCACTTTCAGAAGTAATAGAAATGTCATTCGAAATAGTCGTTTTAACGGGAATTACATTAAATCGTATTGTACGTCGTCGTCCTGTAATTAATTAAACTTCGGTTACATTACAGGGAATCTCATGTTTCTTCTTATAAAAGAGACGTGTATTATGTATCTCAATTAGACATATTATTTCGGAAACGGAGTATGCAAGTGACTTATTCGTGAATAGTAGGATACTATTGTTACACGAAAGCGACTATTCTCGCGTATAACCGCGGTTAATTGCCAAACACTGCTACAAATGCGACATTTGTTCAGCTCCAAATCTGAATTTGCTCACGCTTTTATGGCGCGCGCGAATAATTAATATTTATATTAACCTGCACACATATAACACAATCGAATTCCTTCGGGTATCCACCGTTTGATTGATCATTGTTACCCTTCCAGTGCAATCGCATGTTTTACCCATCATGTTAAGTGTCCTTCACGGATAATTAAAAATTATCCGCGAGGAGAGAAAGCGAAATCGTCTATTTCACGTGTTTACTCGGCGCGCTTAACCGCTCAAACGTTATCAACGTTATAATGAAAATGAAGGTTGATCATGTTCTTTAAAGCAGAAATAGACGTGTCGAAGTGAAACAGTCGGGCGAAGTTATCACGGTTCCCATTACTCGCCAATTTAACTCGTCGGTCATTCACGCAGATCTGTTCCGGCCGATTCTTCGTTCTTACGAGAGGTCGCGCGGGCCACGTGTGCACTGTGCACTCTCTCTCTCGCCAAAGCGATCGAAAACCCATTTACACCGTGTCACCGTCGGCCGTTTCTCCTGGAGGGCAAGACGAGCGTTTCCAGGAGGATGGCGAATAGGAACGTTGGACATGCCTAGTGCCTTGATGTACCGCAGTAGTCCGTTCCTCGAGTGCCTGTTCGTACGCGACTTGTCACTGATTTGCGTACGTTCAAAGGGCAGGATCTGCGTGCTCGTACCGTCTAATGGGATCCTTTGTGCGAGCATGCGACTGTCGGCCGCAATACATCTGCACGCTCGTGTAATGCGTTGCACACACCTATGGGTAACTCGTTACCTGCGTTACTCGCAGTGCGTAAAATCGCGTCTTGTGATGTTGAACATCCTTGTGAGGCTCCTTCTTTGTCACACTTAAAATATGCTTAACAGTACTTACAGATTAAAGATAAAAATTGCCCGACAAGCTCGATTTGGTGGGAAATCGTTGGTTTCAGTGACGACGTCGTTCGGCCGTGAACATTCGCGTTTAAAATTTCATTTAATTATTAATTAATATTAATGACTTTATATAGAGAAAAATCGTATGATAAATATGATTATCGATTACTAAGTTTAAATAGGATTTAATTAGGATTAAATTTATCGACATATTTATATGGATATAATGACATATTGGGAATTATATAATGATTAGCTGTGCATCGACATTATTAATCCCTTATATTTTTACGACCGTTTTTAACGGAAGTCAAGAACATAGATTTGAACAGTATCATGCATGATATTATGGCCAACATTGGTATGTTATCAATCTTTGATACAAAGTCACGAGAGCATGAACGTATATATAAGATTCTGACTTGCTGAGGGGGTGCAGATGGGGCGCAAAAAAAAAAAAAAAAAGAAAACGGCAGGTGCGCGCACGTATGGAAACTGTAGAGAACTCGATGAAATAACCGGAACGTCTGCGTGGCGCCAGCCAGATCCACGTGACGGCATCAAGTTTTCATTCGGTGCGAGATCGCGTGTCACAAATTACCGGTATCGCGGCCTCCCCCCGCGCCGGCTCGCCAAATCGATTTTCGTTGGACGTTCGGATTTCCCTCGGTCGCCACGCGGGCTGCTGGCTCATCGTACCGGTGCGCAATGCGCGCAGGTGCCCTTCCGCCGATGATGGTAAGCCAAACAATGGACGCCTAAAATACACGCTGCTCGAAGTTCATTCGCGATCGTGGAAATTAAAAGATAGACGTGCCTCGCGCACGATACAGCAAAGTTCAATTCGCGCATGTTGACGTACGTTAACGGAACTTTTACAAAATGCGAACCATATGACGGGTGAATTTCCAGAACCTTCTGCTTTCAATAATATTTCGATACAAGAGAGATAATTTCGGCGAATCTCACATTACCGTGAATTTCTATTTAAATTCCTCTTTTATGCAATTTATGGATAAATAGTGCAATGCGAAGGTGTGTTCCAAATAGTTTATTTAAATTGCGAAAAATAACTAATTTTTTTAATTTTAACGGAAAAATGTCGCTACATAAACGATGTAATTTATTTTTCATTCAGAGAAAATTTTAAATACTTTTTTTATGTTTTTCTTAAAATTTATAAATTGCAATTTATTCTGATAATAAAATGCACAATTTATAAAACATATCTTTACGCTCGAACAATGCTTTTATCAATTAGAGATTATAATTTAATTAGATTTTAAATAGTTGTGTCTAAAGTTGTTGTAATGTCTCGCAGAGAGTCCGATGAATTAGATTCAATCCCCTATCATTTTAGCCAAACTTTCGTCATAACTTTCATTTATCTTCGCCACCGTGATTTCACGCAAGTGAAATCACAGTAAGTTTAATCTGGCAAAAACACTGTCCGAGCGTCGCGTAATTACAACTCATTTTGTTTCATTATTTAAATAAACTTATCCGCAGATATAATCTGACCATATTAAAGTGCTTTGATTCATAAAAGATAAAATCAATTCGATACATAATATGGTCATTCATAGAAATAAGCTAATTATATGGTCGGATTGGATGTTTGTCCCTAATCTCAATTATTTTATACTTTCTGCAAATAATTATTATATAAATAATTTTATGAAACCTTTAAATCTTTATAGTATTAAAATTTTCTTAATTTGATAAATAACCTAAATATTATTTTCCGTATACGAAACCGGTACTGGTGCGATGAGAAAGATACTTAAAGATGTAAAAAGTAACAAATCTCCTACACTCACAAGATTATTTGTTAAGATATGTAAATAAAAGTCGACGATATTTGCACGGCGCGAAGCATAAATACCTGTTAATTGTTATGCACCGATGAACAAAATTTTTCTCCGGAGGACATTTTTCCCAGGGCAAAATTCTCAAGGCGAAAAGGATGCGGCGCTGAACGAGTTTTCCTCGCTCCACCTGTTTCCGCAAACTATCTTACCTATTCCGCCGTGGATATAGAAGACACGCTGTCGCTAAATTGTGTTTTAAGCTCAAACTTTACGCCGTTCTCCAACCTGGGATCTTACAGTACCGTTATCCGTGCTAAGTGCGCCGCCAGGATGTTCCCCTTTACAAATCCGGGACCGGGTGACATCGTACTTATACACACGTATACATAAACGTTTGGCGGGGCATATACACAAGCGTCGGAGCGCGCGGACGTTTCTTTGGCGGCGTGACGCGCGCGGGTATCTGCAGTAATGAGATGCATTAAGTTTCAGTATAGTTCTCCGGCGTGGCGATTAATTATTATTCATATCTACATTACGTCGACGCTTTGACGGTCCCATACATCAATACGTAAATTGGATATTCAGATGTGACCATATTTTGTTACGGATGCACTTTGCAAGCTAATTGCTAATTAAGCTATATTTCACGCGGGTAAGGATATTCGTTCGACCGTGCATGTAATTTCATTGCGCCACACCGCGCATCGTAAATTTTTAACCTGACCGATATTCTAAAAACAGATAGACATTTGTCTTCGTTATTCAACGATTCTTCGAGTGACGCAATTTTAATAGAAATTATGTTAGTATCTAATCCTGATTAGGAAAAATTTCTAAACGACGATGGACTGCGAAGTTTTCCGCACCGTTGCATTTTCGTATTCACGAACGCAATTGGTCGAAACTCTGACAACTTCCCGTTCATCGGGGATCCTCAGATCCCCGTGGAATTAGCACTTTGTTAAAGAGTCGGAGAAATTAAAAAGAAAATGAGGGGAGCGTTTTCCGCGGTGCACGGCTCTACGCGGGGCTTCTCCCTTACGGGAATTACACGGGAACGGTTCTGCGGCCTTAAAACTATCTTTTAATACTTCGGAACGGCGTCGTTTGTTCCGTGGCGGTCGTTCGTATGAAACCGCGGCGAATTAATAGAATTTTTAATTAAAATGTGCAGTAATTGTTCTGAGGAGGGAGGAATATATGAGGATGGCCGCAACGGCACGAACAACGAAATTGTGTGTTGGGTACAAACGGAGAGAAACACTATGCGGAAAGAGGCAAAAGCGCGGGGGATTTATAGATAGAGAGTTTATTACCTGAATCTGATTACGACAATCGTAGAGGATTTAATCTCGCGACAATTTCGTCGCTGCAGGTGCATCACTTAAATTTGAATACGTTGTTATTGCCGTTGACGTTCGTCGGTCGCGTCGCATCAGGCCGTTATTATGCTTGTATTGTCCAAGCATAAAAATTTTTTACCTACTGCCAATTTTAGCGCCAGACATCAAAGAAACATCTTATTTTGTCATAAGTTATAAATTCTTATAAAAGTTATAAACCCAGTTATAAATCGTTAAAAGTTATGTTCGATAAACACCAACATAGATGATAGAAAATGCTAGCAAAATAACTTCAATTTGTTCTCCCGTCAACTTTCTATTTTGAAATATTACTGATATAAACTTCTCATCTATCTTTATTAAACAGTTTTCATTGAACGAAGTCAATACATATATGGACAAGTTAAAAATATTAAGAGATTTGTGTATCTACATATAAAGAGTTTATTTAAAAAAAATAGTTAAGGGATGAGCTTGTGAATAAAAATTGGCAATTGTCTTTCTAAAAACAAATTTCTTTAAAAATATTTGGCGGAATTGGAATATCTCTTTGTCAAATGCTTGTATATTCCTTTAAATGTACGAAATATCAATATCGACATTCAATTTCGCAGATGCATTCGCAATAAAATTATTATGGGAATAATTTGCGTTCGATCTCGTTTTATTATAGCTAGTTCGGGAACCATATAATTTGCAGCGCGAGTGGAGTTCTGTTGTAACGACGAAACTTTTCTCCTTGAATATTCTACCGTTTCGTATACGCAAGTTCTCGGCATACTACGCGAAGCGAGATTTACTGATAAACAATAGACCTCGATATATTCATTAGTAAATTACGTAATTGCATTAGTAATACCTAGGCATTTCGACCTGATGACGAGCACGCGCGCGCGTATGTACGTGTATACGAGCGTGTGTTGTATCGTTCATTCTGAAGCAACATACTTTATAGTCGCTGCACCGGAAATAGTTGTACGTGGATAAATGGTGAATAAATTAAAGCGCATTGCATGCACTCCGTTAATTCATTTTGCCAACAATTAAGCCTCGTATCGTGATGGGTCAATTCTGAAAGCACCTTATCCCGATTGCACTTGCCGATCGTGATTGCAACAGATCCGTGTGAAAGGCATTGTCGGAATATTTTTCTAAAAAGGCATTCTAGACATATTATTTTATATAAATATCGCGATAAACATTTAAATCGTCAACGATACGGTAATATGAATACAATTGTTACAGCCACGTATTCACGATACACTTGCGCGTTGAATATAAAAAAAGCTAGCAATTCAAATAAGATTAATATGAACGTTTAATAACAAGTTTTATATAACATGGAATTTATAATTTATAACAACTATTAACGTGTGTGTGTAATTCGACGTGTGAATAATCCAACTACGACACATTTATCAGGTACAGCGAATCATGTTAAATCCTCTTTTTCTTCTTTTTTGATGCCGTTCACTCAGGTACAATGCTTCTTTTATTGAATGTTATTTTCATGTAGCGCTGTATTGATTTTACAAAAATGGTCTCTTTATAAGATTAAAGTCATTGAACATTGCGGATGCAACGCTATAATCACTTTCATTTATTATATTGAATAATCTAACAATAAAGTTGAATTATAAATTTTTAATTATCCAGTTTTAGAATTAATATTAATGTTAATATTATATTATCGAAAGATTTGTTACAAGATAGATTTCTGAGAATTGTTTTTCAATTGCATCAATTTTACGTTTTTATCTGAGTACAAATTAAAGGTAATTAAATGTACTTTGGATTATTACATTAAACGAAATAAATCATGAAATATTCAGCACTTTGTATTACAAGTATTACGATTGGATCCTATATTTTATAAGCGAATGAAATGCAGAACAATTTATAATGCACCTTTATCTGGTACGACGTCAATATATATTCAAAACGGACAAAATTCTATTAATTAAAAAAATAAAAAAAAATTTTGTCGGGAAAATAATTGTCAAATTTTACCAAGTAGTTATTTCTCTCGCGATACAGTTTACTATTACTATATACGTTTTTGGCGAGATTAATGAAGTTTCTAAGACTTTTCCTGAATAATACGGGGTAAGGTAAAAATTAATTATTGAAAGAGTACATTTAGTAGATGAATGTACTCTTTTGTGCAGAATCGCCGGACTAGGTGGAATCACTAAGTCTAGTAATTCTGCTGGTATAGTACTTCCTTTACTTAACCTGTAGGGCATGAGGTAACAAAAATTTCAGCATAGTACTGAAATTGACAGAATCTGAGCGACTTGCTCAAGTTACTTTTGTTATTATTATACATTATCTGCATTATTTATTTTTATTACAAATAAAATCTATATCATATATAACCAGAGATTGTCAATATATAAATTAAATTTAAAAAATATACATTGAATAAAAACGCATTTTTATAATGTTCCTTACATGTAAAAAAAAAACGGTCCACTTATTTAACCGCCAGAGAGTTTCACAGTATAAAATATTAAAGCTATCCGTCGAAAGTAAATTGGTACTGGTAAAAGATGCTCAATTCACATACTCGTCTAACTCC